AAAATATCCTAAAGAAATTCAATATTCAATTTCCATTTTTTTTCGGTCCAATTCGGGGGAATTATTATATCGTTGAAATTTAAATATATATAATCAAGAATATATAATTAAGATTCTGTTTAGCTTCCTACCACAATCCCATTCTCCAAAATAATAATTTTAATTATAATTATATATATAAAAAACAAAATAATTTATCATCAATAATCAAAATTTAAAACCAAATACCATCAAATTCTATATACATATAAATATTTTCTTATTGTAAAAAAAGAAAAAAAAACATATAATATTAAAAAAAAATATTTCCGGTCGGTGAACAACCACCCCCCCCCCCCCCCAATAATATCCCCCCACCATGGGGGGGGGGCTGCTTGCGAACGAATCCACATAGCAAAAAAATAAAAAATAATAAAATAAAACAATATCAGACCTCTAATATATATATATTTATTATATTTTTATATAATCATATCGAAATATTATAATATATATATATTTAAATTAATTTAGATTAATATCATAAAATATATATGGTTTTAATCATTAAATAAATATAAATATATAATTAAAATTATATATATAAATTAATTCTTCAAATAATTTAAATATAATAAAATTCAAATAATTTCAATATATAATATATTATAAGTATTATATATTTATTATAATAAACATAAACAATTAAATAACAAACTATTATAATTGGTTTTATAATTAATATTAATTATATTATATATATTAATATATATATATATAATTTATATTAGAAATATATAATATATTATAATTTATATATATTTTAAATATTCATAATATATTATTAATAATTCAAATAATTATATAAATATACTATATTCAACATATATAATCATTATTATATTCAAACATAATTATATATTATATATATATATCAATTATTAATTTCATTATATCATAAGAATATCTATATATAAATACAATCTTTAATTTATTAAATCAATTATATATGTTTTAACCTTAAATTATTTATTTTATTCTTTAACCAACATTCTATATTCTTCAATAATTATTATATTCATTCGATATCCTAAACCACAATTCAATTCCAAAATTATAATATTCTCTAATCCCATATTTAATTAAGATCAATTTTGTGTCAATTGTGTTCTCTGCTTTTTGGGTGTGTCTCCTAGGTCCCCACCCACCCCATTTTGCATGTTGTTTTACTGACCCGAGTCATGTTGTGCGTCAAATGTTCATTTTACAGGCATCACAAGCCGTGATTTACGAAATCTTTCCAAAAAAACATCTTGGTAACTTGTTGCATGATGAATGGTGATAATATATCGAAACAATGATTCTGCTCGGTCTTTACGCTTAAGCACTGCCCTTTCAGTTTTTGCATATTTTCACACAACTTTCTACTGTCCATTCAGAGGGCCGCGCTCGAATTTGATTTAATTGTAATAAAGCTCCAGACCTCACAGGCAATGCAATGCAGTGGCATTGCTTGTGCGAGATGCCTTGAATGGCTCACAACTCAAAACCCCATGAGGCTGAACTGGCTGGGACACTTCCAACAAACACGTCTGGTTGATTTGACAGTGTGCTCAGGTGCCAGCCCATGCCATCCTTGATCTCATAGTCCTCCAGTGTGATATGGTCCTGCGCGGGTGGTGTGAGAGTCTTGAGCCCGAAGCTTGACATCAAGCTGAAGTTGCGAGCACCTGATTTCTCAGATGTCCCAGGCACATGTCCTTGTAGACATTGTACCATTTCTGAATGCGAATCTTTTCCCATCGAGTACCACACCTGCGCGCAAGAGGTTGGAACAAAGACCGTGGCCATCAAGAACTGACAAACATCAAATACAACCCATGCAGACTCAATGTCGTTGACTTCATGATCAAATCATTGACTCAAATATCGCCAGCCGCGCTGAGAGAGCTATCAAACAACTATACGTTTGGCGCTTGCTCTTGCAATTCGCAGTCACCATTACCACACTCTTCATACTGGTCAGCCATACTGGTTGCCAAGTTTGGGCGCCTTTAGTACCAAAAGCGAGCCCCCCGTTTCAAGAGGAAGCAATGGGAGACATGTGCCCAGGGCTGAGGAGGGCACTGCGCTGCAATCAGCTTCTTCAGGTCAGCTATGGTGTCATCTGCATTGCACTTCACGCGAATCTTCCGACCAATGCGGTCGTTGCAAATTACCTGCGCCGGTCACAGCGGCATGCCCCGCTGTGCGCAAGGGCGAGGCTGCTACAGTTGAAGCCAAAAACAAGCGGAACGCAGGGAACCTTCATTTGGCCGCTACAGTATCCTTTCTGTGAAATAGCATGTTGTTGATTCACTTCCGGCATTTCAAATTCAAAATGCCCAAGCAAAAGCAACGCGACTTCGGGTCTGCCGTTCGTTGAAAGTCAAACATCGTAGGCATCCTTGACATGGTTACTCAACTTGCACCTGAAACCTTTGCAAACAGTCCCTTTCCCAAACAGTGATCAACGCTTTGCATCTGAAACCACAAGTGGCCCAAACGACGACGGCAAGAGCTCTGCATAACATGGCCCTCCGAGACCCGGCCATATCCCACCACACAATGGCCTCGATCATCTTGGCGCTTTCGGCGGGCGAGCGTGGCAACTGCTGCGAGCTTTTGTCTCCAGTCTCCCTGAATGACATAAGTTGTTCCTGACGCGCTGTCGCATGGACTGACGTGGCTTCTGAAAGTCGTTTTTGATCGGCTGGGATCTGCTGAAGAATTATGTGTAGGCTGTGGCAATCAAGTTTGGGATCTTGTGGTGGAGGATTTAGCGACAAGTACTTGAACCCACGCTGCAAATAGCGAGATCTTGCTATAAATCGGCACGGCCAGCAGCAAACCTGCAGACAAAGGACCTACAGCAAGCATGGTCTCCCAAGAAAGATGCGGTTTGAGATTTGATGTTCTTTTTGCAGGTCAGCTCTTCCTCCGCTTTGGCTTCTTGGCTTCACTGGACGACCTGGCACGAGCAGTCCACTGCCTACTGTACCAATGCCAATTCCTTGACTCCGCCTTCCCGACTGGCGCGACAACCTCTGCACTGAACGTCGAGCACTGACTTTTCAATCAAATTGCTAGCCACGGAAAAATCCTGGGGCTTGCTTCAAATTTCCCGGCTTCATGCGATCATGGGCAAGCAACTCCTCAAACCGTTGCGACTTTGAGATTGCCACTCGAGGCGAAGGAGCGAAGGGCCGGTTGCCAAGAGAAGCAAGCGGTGCATCCATCAACAAACGCCGGGCGAACGCGGAGCTGCTGGAAGAAGAGCCTCACGCGCATAGCCAGTCAGCAAAGCCAGCAAATGCAGCCTTTTCAAAGCGATCACGGGATACACGATGCCCGTTGCTTCGGCAAAAAGGGCCCACTGTTTTGGCTGTGACCCTTCAAGGTTTCACTACCGAGTCATCCGCTTTCTTGCAGCACGAATGCCGAGCTCAACTTCTAAGCTACAGGCTGCTTGTCGACTTTGCCTAGGCAGCAACCAAAATGATCGCTGGCAAACGACTGCTTGATCCAAGCTCTGCAAACTCTTGGATAGTTATTCACTTTCAGCAAACCCTGTGGCCCTTGGTTTTGGCCATCCTTGGCAACCCACAACCCTGTGGGCTCCAACACAACGTCCCTGCAAGCTCAATTGAAAGTTGCCATGCTTTGTTGAACATTGAGCCGTGGCCTTCTTGGATTTCTTCTTTTTCTTCTCCTTCTTTTCTCGCCTCGGCAGCGGTCAAGAGCGTTAACCAAAGGGGCAACAAATAGACATTATTTTGCATCTCAGCGATACTTCCTACATGCCAGTACTTCCTACATGCAGAGCTGAGTCGCCAACAAGGCTTTGCTTTTGGCCTGCCAAGCTTCGATTGGGTGACTGCGGATGGGCTCAGACATGGGTTCGAGGGTGTTGCGCAAATGAATGTCATGCAATGTCATCATGTCATGTTGTCGTGATGTTATGAGGTGACATGGTTCTGCATGTTTGTTGGGGCTCGTTCACGAGGTCATCTGAGTCAAGCGAAAGGAGCAGGATAAGATTGAGAGCCTTTCAACAGCTCACACTTTACTCTGGCCTTGGTCTTCTGCGGCTTTTCTGCATCCTTCCTTTGATCCTGACGCACCACCCCGAGATATCCCGAGCAACCAAGGCTGACTCTTACCCTTTCAATTCTGGCCCTGGACATCTAACTCTTTTCATGAAACACGACTCATCACCTAGCACAGCTCCAAACACACGACAAGCTGGGGGCTTTTGAAACGGCAGTCAACAATGAGCTGGCTGCACAAGAAAGAGGTCAACCCGCTCGCGTGGAGGGGTGATGCTTGCTGTCTAGGGTGTGCTCTTCGATCATTAATGTTTGCCAGCGCTTCTCTGAGCTGGAATGGCCAAGTCACATGTCTGTGTCTGGGCGTTGCTCGTCTGGTTGGTTTGTCCACGTTTGGCGAAGCCTACATTGCGAAAGAGGTTTCCTCATACATGTTTTCTTTGTGGGTGAAAGTTAAAAGGACATATGACATATTGTATGGAGGGGGTTGGCCTTTGCCAGTTGGGTTGGGGCGGGGATGGATGTGGCTAAGTCACCACCCCTGCGTCAGAGGTGCCTGGAAGGGCAGCGGCGCCGAAGCGCCCAGCCGCGCCAGCTTGGGAGTGACCTCGAGGGCTTTGGATGTGCGCCGTGGCTCAGAGGCGAGTTGGGTGTGGATCCAGATGGCCTGGGCTACTGGGGCTGTTGGGTTCGTTGCCAAGCTGTCCTGTTCAGCTACTTGGCTGCCCGGCTTGCATTTGTCGGGACAGGTAGCTGCACGCTCTGTCCATGCCGCAAACTTGCTAAAGGCAGCGCTGCTTTTGACCGCCCAACGTACCATAACAAACCCAAGCGCGCCCAAACTCTGAATCAGCTTTACGCTCAGTAAAGCTAAAGAAGTCCAAGAAATTGTGGCACCAGCACGTCTGCATGCTCTTCTCTGTACGCCTGCAATTACGTCACGCCTTGCTGCCACAGCTCCCCCAACGGATCCCAAACAAACCCAAGCGTGTCCAGGCTTTCAATCTGCTCTGCGCTCAGCTTGCCGTTGGACCTGGCTTTTCGCTGCGTCTTGACCCACTGCCCAAGATTGAAACCATCAGCAGCAGCATGCGAAAAGGGAACCAGCACGTCTCCATGCTCTGCTCTGTACGCCTGCAATTGCGTCACGCCTTGTTGCCACAGCTTCCCCAAAGGATCCCAAACAAACCCGAGAGCGTCCAGGTCCTCAATCTGCTCCGCGCTCAGTTTGCCCTTAGACCTGGCATAGCGCTTTTGAGCGGTCCACCGCCCAAGCTTGAAACCATCTTCTGTTGCATACGATTTGGGCACCAGCACGTCTCCGTGCTCTGCTCTGTACGCCTGCAATTGCGTCACGCCTTGCTGCCATAGCTCCCCCAAAGGATCCCAAACAAACCCAAGAGCGTCCAGGCTTTCAATTTGCTCTGCGCTGAGTTTGCCCTGAGACCTGGCATGGCGCTTCGTGCTGACCCACTGCCCAAGCTTGAAACCATCAGCAGCTGCATGCGATTGTGGCACCGGCCCGTCTCCATGCTCTGCTCTGTACGCCTGCAATTGCGTCACGCCTTGCTGCCACAGGTCCCCCAACGGATCCCAAACAAACCCGAGAGCGTCTAGGCTCTCAATCTGTTCTGCGCTCAGTTTGCCCTTAGACCTGGCATAGCGCTTTTGAGCGGTCCACCGCCCAAGCTTGAAACCATCAGCGGCAGCATACGAAAAGGGAACCAGCACGTCTCCATGCTCTGCTCTGTACGCCTGCAATTGCGTCAAGCGTTGCTGCCACCGCTCCCCCCACGGATCCCAAACAAACCCAAGATCGTCCAGGCTTTCAATTTGCTCTGCGCTGAGTTTGCCCTGAGACCTGGCATGGCGCTTGTGGCTGACCCACTGGCCAAGATTGAAACCATCTTCTGTTGCATACGATTTGGGCACCAGCACGTCTCCGTGCTCTGCTCTGTACGCCTGCAATTGCGTCACGCCTTGCTGCCATAGCTCCCCCAAAGGATCCCAAACAAACCCAAGAGCGTCCAGGCTTTCAATTTGCTCTGCGCTGAGTTTGCCCTGAGACCTGGCATGGCGCTTCGTGCTGACCCACTGCCCAAGCTTGAAACCATCAGCAGCTGCATGCGATTGTGGCACCGGCACGTCTCCATGCTCTGCTCTGTACGCCTGCAATTGCGTCACGCCTTGCTGCCACAGGTCCCCCAACGGATCCCAAACAAACCCGAGAGCGTCTAGGCTCTCAATCTGTTCTGCGCTCAGTTTGCCCTTAGACCTGGCATAGCGCTTTTGAGTGGTCCACCACCCAAGCTTGAAACCATCAGCAGCAGCATACGACAAGGGAACCAGCACGTCTCCATGCTCTGCTCTGTACGCCTGCAATTGCGTCAAGCGTTGCTGCCACCGCTCCCCCCACGGATCCCAAACAAACCCAAGATCGTCCAGGCTTTCAATTTGCTCTGCGCTGAGTTTGCCCTGAGACCTGGCATGGCGCTTGTGGCTGACCCACTGGCCAAGATTGAAACCATCTTCTGTTGCATACGATTTGGGCACCAGCACGTCTCCGTGCTCTGCTCTGTACGCCTGCAATTGCGTCACGCCTTGCTGCCATAGCTCCCCCAAAGGATCCCAAACAAACCCAAGCGTGTCCAGGCTCTCAATCTGCTCCGCGCTCAGCTTGCCGTTGGACCTGGCTTTTCGCTTCGTGCTGACCCACTGCCCAAGCTTGAAACCATCACGGGTACGATAGCTAAATGGAACTGCAAGATGGCCATGCACTGCTTTGTAGGCTTCGAGCCTTCGAAGCGGCGCAATCCAGGCCAGTGAAGCATTGCACGCTGCCAGCACATTTGGAAATACGCGCATGCCCAGGACGCGGGCTGGTTTTGTCGCAAGTGATTCTTTGAGACCGTTCTCCTTCATAGCCCCAGCCAGAATGCCGACTCTACGTCCCTTCTGCCCGATGCTGGCGGTGAGCGACGCCTGGAAGAGAGGATCAGCCATGGCCAGCTCTCTCAGCAACCGCCTCAGCCCTGCCTCTTCCTCCAAGGAGCTGTCGTTTTTCTGCACGATGGGCGGAGCAATCACCTGGGCATCAACCTTCCCAGGATGTCTTCGAAGCACTCTGCCCACGCACTGCCGCAGGCGCACGCCTTGCCTGGGCGCAACGAAGAGACAGGTGTCCGCCACTGGAAGGTCCACGCCCTCACTGAGCACGTCCACCGTCACCAGCACGCGGATGCCGCCGCGAGCCTCGCTCTGGGCGAAGCTGCTCAGAATGTCCTGCCGTTGTTTGGCTGAAGTCTGGCCGTTATAATGGTTTGCAGCAATCCCGGCATCGTTCAACATGTCAGTGAAGGACTTGGCCTCATGGACGGTGTTGCAGAAGGCCAGGATCTTGCGCGCGAGCGGCAGGTTGTGAATGGCTTCCACCAAAGCTGGCCTGGGGTCCCCCTCCGACAGCACAGGCACCAGGACGGTGTAGTCCATGATGACTCCGGCCTCAATAGCCGGCCTCAAGTCAAAGTCGAAATCCGGCTCATTTTGGATAAGGGTGGCAGAAAAAAACACTCTCTTGCTGGCATTCAGTGCCAAGACTTGCTTGGCGTGAACACCCAAAAGATCGCCTTCTGTAAGATTGTCCTCCGCAAAATGTTCATCACGCTTCGGCAACTGACAAAGAGGCAACGGAGGCTCATAGTGATGGGCCTCATCCAACAGCACCACGTCAAAATTGAGGTGTTCGAGCTGCCATGCTGAATTCCTCACGCAAACAAAGACTTCCGCGGTCAAATCGGCAGGCCAGCCGGTGCCAACTCGGCTCACTTTGCGATCTGGGAGTGTTCCCTCTAGCAACCGTGCCATCTGCTCCATCAAGTCCAGCTTTGGTACTATAATACATGCTTGACTTTGTGCCCCGAGCCCTGCCAAGAGGTCGGCCATCACCAAGCTCTTGCCAGTGCCAGTGGCCATCCGAACAAAGAAGTCGCGCTTTGCTGTGGACCGATTTGCAAGAAAGCCCCGGCACGCCTCTAAACACCGAGCCTGGTGTGGCCACCGCTCCAACTTGCACACCTCCGGCCGATGCTCTTCAGCCGCCGCTCGCTTGCGTGCCCTGGCGCGCCAGAGTTCGATCTCCTCTGCGGTGTACTTCCGGTGCTTGGCACCCGTCCATTCCCATTCCTGCGGCAGCTGCGTGCTCTCGTTGGTGGCGACCACCATGTGCTCCACCTGGCCATGCACGTAAAGTGAAACCTCAACCTCCCAAGCAAACTTGGCTTCTTGGGAACAAAGAGTAAAGCCCCACCTTCACCCTGAACCAAAAAGGCAACAACAGAGTCCATGAAGCATGACAGACATGAATCTCATGCACTTCCCTGCGCCTTGTCCCTCAGAGGCGAGCCCTCAGCCCTGACCAACAGGTGAAAGGTTGCCAGGCTTCTCAATGGCACTGAAGCCTCATAGTCCTTGGCCTGGACGGCAACAGAGAGATTCAACGCCAAGGAGTCAATGCCCCGGTCCTGCATGAGGCGAGCAACGCGTTTCAAGTTGCTGGCACAACCCAAGCCTGATTTCTTGGCTTTCACGGCTTGAAACCAAACCAAGCAGCCCTCCCCCAGCTCGTGGCTCCTGCAAAGGCAACCCGAGGCGCTCCTTGAAGCGAATGGGCAGCTGACCCCAGGGCACTGTCCCCAAATCCAGCGCCGAGATCAGCTCCAGCTCCCGGCCCGGCGGCAAATTCCCCACCGCCAGCGCCTCCAAGGCCTTGGTCTCCACTGCCCGCTGCACGCGCCGCATCTCCGCCGCGCCGAGGACGGCGCCGGCGGCGGACTCGTCATAGGCCGCTTGGCGCCGAGCCACCCGGGAGGTGGGTCCAGGGAACCCGGGCAGGCGGCGCCAAGGGCAAAGCACGGAAGCCAGGGTGCCGAGCTGCCGGGCCCACAGCCTGCGATTGCTTGGGGAAAACGGCTGCTTGGTTTGCTGGTTGAACTTGAGGGGGTTCCGACCAGAACCAGGGCTCAAAGGAAAAGGCGAACAAACAAAAAGGCAAAGAAAGAAAAAACAACAACAAGGGGAACAAAGGAGTGCCACATGGTGCTGTGCAACTGGCGCAAGGCAAGGGCCAGGATCACCAAGCTGCCATTGCGGCGCCGACGCTGCAAGGCCATGCCGATGATATTCTGGGCAAGAAGCCAGGCACTATGCACTCACCATGAGCCGGGCGATGGCTATAAGTGGCTGCTTTGCATCCAAATGGATTTCAACTTGTCATGGCTCCTGCATGCAGAATTTCCGGGTGTGCATCCCTTGCCTTCACCTTCAAGCCTCATCACAGTTGAAAGCTGCAGGCGATCCTGCGATCCTAAGATGGGTCCCTGGAACCCAGCATCGCAGCCGCACCACAAACCTTACAAGGGCGAGCCAGCACGCAAAGTGGGCCCATCACAGAGCTTATCTTCTTGATTCCCCAATAACTGCGGGGAAAGGAACACTTCCCATCTTGTTCCTGCCTCCTTTTGCAATCCTCGTTCCCGAAAAACGTTGGCTCCCATTCTTCTGTTACAGTGGTGCATCAACACCATACTATGCAACAGTCCCTGCCCCAAATACACACACATGCCACCCATATGGTAGGCTGCCCTATGTCTGGCAACTCCATGTACCCCAACCCTTGTTTTGGCGGACTTGGCAATGCATTTCTGCCATCGAAACATTTGCGCCTGCAAACGCAGCCCTGAGAGCTGAGCTGCGGACCAATTTGTCGTACATCTTCTGAAGCGTTTCTTTGGGGTTTGCGACTTTCAAGGCCTCTGCGCGGTATTAGCCATGGCTTGCATTTCAAGTCTTGCATGAACAAACCAAAGCAACTCCCTGTGAGCAATCCGGCCCCTCTTCAGGCTGCTTCCAAACCAAGTTGTGGGAACCTATCCCTCTTCTGCAGCTGTTCTTTTAATCAGCTGGTCCAAGCAAAGCAGAATGCAAGAGATCGGTGCGCTCTGCCTCTTTGTCCTTTTTGTCGTACAGCTTTGCCCATGCCTGGCGGGCCGAATCGAGGCAAGTACATGCCACTGCTTCGAAAATGATCCCAGTCAGCGCCACCGTACATGCAGCTGAAGAAGAAAACATCAAAGGGAGCCCATTTGCATGCTGTCAGGTACCTGGGTGGAGTGTTTGGATTAAGCTACCTGAATAGCGTCAATGGCCATCTCATTGTTGGCACTCCTTCTAAGCCCAAGGGTCAGACCGGGGCTTTCCATTCTAGCCATTGCCCTTTTCAAACAAGATACCATGGGAGGCAGCGTCAGCCACAAACACGCCCCCTAGCGATTTCGACGTGGCCAAGGGAAGCGAACAACAAGTTCCCAAAAAGACAAGCCCGCCTCATCGTCCGCCTCCTTTTGGTGAGGAGCACGAAAGTACGTGGCGGAGCATGGATTTTGGTCAGGCTTTGCAACTCCCACCTCAAGTCTGCACTTGACATCCCTTGACCTACGACTTTCTTCAAAATGTTTATCGAGCATTTTCATGGTCTACTGGCCAAAGCTCACTTGATATCCCGCAATCCCTCCCAAACAAGTGCCCTCTTTTCTCTTGGCTGATTTGGAAGAAAGGGATGCCCACCAAGATGCTCAGGGAAAAACACACTGAAGCTGGAGGCTTGCAGTGCGACTCGCCCCAAACAGGCTCCCCCGCAACATGTTCCCGCTTTCTCGCCCAAATAAGGAATTCAATTCACCTTTGCCTCCAAAACGATTGTTCAACCACCAAATTCTTCACAACATGAGCCCTAGTTCCTGGTGCAAAATAGGAAGCAACAGCAGGTTTGAATAAACCAGAGTTCAATCAAGAACACATGTGCATCTCCCCATTGCTTCCCTGGAACAAAACATGGGCCGCTGGTTCACAAAACGTGGGTCGCTCCGCCCCCTCGGCACCGTCCGGCCTCGCTCTGCGCCTGGATGCCGCGCCGCGCCATCACCTGCGGGGCTCAGGGAGTGACCTTCCGGGTGTTGGGAATGGAACCAGAAGGGGAGTCCCTTAAAGAAAGCCATAGGGGATGTCCAGGCGTCATTTTTCCTCATTTCCTGAGAACCGGAGAAGTAATTGGCGGCTTGGGCTGCAGGTTTCGAGGTTGGTGTCCTACGCGCCAACCCCAATCCAAGCCGCAAACTACTCGCTACCTGAGAGAACCAGGACCTAGGAGCCTCAGGCTGCCAGTGACTCAGTTGTTGCAGCATTCGAAGCCACGAAAGCGGCACACCACAGCAACACAATAAAAGCATATAGGAGTGAGCCAACACGCAGCCCGATTCAACTGGAGGAATACTCCCCGTCGCCAAGCCTGGCAAAGGCGCCAGCGGCTGGACTGCAACGATAAAATGCAGTTCGAGGGCTAAAAGTGGGGTTGCTTTGATGGTCAACTGGCTTCATAGACGCATCGCATCCGGCCCAAGGGCGGGCTTTACTGAAATACGGAGCACTTACTGCATCATACATGGTGTGACTAGTTTCGCTCAATGTGCTGCCCGTTTGCCGGTTGCCAAGCCCACAATCATGGCTGCTGCACTCACATCAGAGCATATTAGATGTCATCCAACGTCCGTTAGTACAAACTCAGCATCTCTAGAGCAGGATGCGATGGTTCGGCGGCGTGCCCAAGTGCCGTCAGCATCAGTGAACCTCAATTTTGCGCCCCCAGCTGTGACCGTTAGCCTGCCTCCATCACCGCAAACGCAGTAAAAAGAGCCCATGACTGGATTCAAGTTGTGACCTGTTCATTGCTTTCTGAATTTCACTACTCGTAAAGCATTTCCCACAACCATAGGAGAACGGTTTCAAACGACAAGGATCTCTCGAAAACATTGGCAACCACACTTGTATTTGTAGGGCCAGCGCCAAAATAGCGACAAACCAACGGCAAGTTCGGCCACGTTTAGCTCCAAGGCAGTCCAGGATATATAGGTGCTGCAATAAGCACGTGTCCGCTGCCAAGGGGCCATGGGCAAGGTTGACAAATGGCTGTGGGTCAAAAATAGGTACCGTAAATGGAGCCCTGGTAAATGGAACCAAGGACTAAAACCTGCGGTCCCCCGTGGTAGTTTAATTTTGACCCGTACCCACATCACGAACAGTCGGCTGTTCTCCGGCAGCATTGGCACTCAATGCAATTTTGCCCCTACCGCGATGCGTGCATTTGCGTGCAAGGCTGGCATCCAATGCCAAAGAATTGAAAGGGAGATGGGCAGCTGAAACCACTAGCTGCAACGACACATTGCAAAACACACACTGCCCTGCAAGACAAACAGTGGATTGCAGCACACAAACACACACTGGAAGAGCACACACACACACAATCTCGATGTCTTCTGTATCTCAACACCTGAGATACAGATTGGCCAAACAAGTCTGAACCTTTTGCCACCAAGATTGGTCTCCCCGAAAAGTTTAAAGTCCAGGAACTCAGGGAGTGAGAACATGGTCCTTTTCTGAATCAGCATGCCGACCAAGACAGGCAGCCAACCAGTTTGGAATTTCGGCTGCCTGGGTGTGATTCTTGTTGAAAGGACCCCGTTGTAAGGTTTCTTTCAAAGGGAAACCAAAGGGGAATCAAACCACTATATAAGGGGCCTCACCAAATTGAGACAAACCCATCTCCCTCCTCCCCCATTGCCGGCAACTCGAGCCCCAACATCTCAGACCGGCAAACCAGCCAAATTCGGGACGGCCAAGGGGGCGCTGCCTTCGGCTGAAGCCCAGCACAGGCAACTTGTGTATGGCTGTGTGGTCGGCTGTTGCCAGACAGTTCGTAATTGAATTGAATGGCAATTTTGTCCTGAAAGGCGATGTGATGTCACCAAGGATGCCTTTGCCTTTTCATGACATTGCATGTTTAGCTTTGAAACAAGCAATGACACGCATTTCCATGCAATTGAATCAGGTTCCCACAAGAAACTGCATGCCTCAACTCAGCATGAAATTCCCACCCTCAACTCAGCATGCAATTCCCACTAATTTGATGGCTACGGCTCTTTGAATTCAGCCGCTCCCCTGCAGAGCTGTCCGCATTTCTTGCACGAATTTGTCGCACGGTGGCTTGGTAGTGTCCCATGGCATCAAGTAGCACTGTGAGTTTGCCCTTTGAAAACTGCTCCAGTCGCTTGCCTCAAAGAGATTGACACTCACGCTGAAACTCAATAATGGAATTGACTTCCTCCAAAGGTGGCCACTCCCCAGCAAATTAACAAAGAACCCCAAAACACACGTCCCCAAAAATCATGCTTCCTGTACCATGTGTGCCTTGTGTGCCATGTAAGTCTATTTTCAGCCTGACAGGGACGACCCTGGCTCCCACCAGAACGGGGCAAGTCAGCTGGAGGCGGGCGACTGGCAGGCCACCACCTCGCGGTGCGGCTTGAGCTGGCCAAAGAGGGGAGCATGAGACTTCCGCCTTTTTGGTTGACCCCTGCTCACATGCCGGGCTTGCCCAAAAAAAACCTCTGTGGTGTCACCACGGGTCCGTCTGAAGATCAGGGGTCGGTCCAAACGGTTTCGCAGTTTCATGCAGTTTCAGTGACGTTCAAGGCAACAAAACCAGCTTGTAAGACCGTCACTGGTGATCTCGTTCCACCCCCAAGTCAGCTCATTCAATTTTGCTCAGATTCATCTGAAATGTGTGTGTGTGTGTTAAAACAGGGGATACCCTTAAACGGTGCTCGTTTGGGTATCGTTTAAACGACCCCAAAAGGGCCCCCCCCAAAAAAACAACAACAACTAGATGTGGTGGAAAGCTGATCCAACCGGCAGACGGCTGCCTCGGGCTCGGAGACATGAAGCGCCTGCGCGCATTTGTTTGGCGGAACAACATCCTGACCCGCTACGGTGGCACCTGACAAAGGGCAAGACCGCCCTTTGCCGGTTTCACAGAGGTTCGCAAGCACTCTCGCTGGCCTCCCGAACTTCCAAAAGAAGGAATCACTGGAAAACGGCGGGCACACCAGCAATCTGTAGACGGATAGGCGCGCAATGCAATCATACTGTCAGCCAAAACACGGGTACGGACAAACACGAAATAAAATAACTCATCCGAACACATGTTCGTGTCATACACACATGTTGCCTACGACTGCGATGACCATCTCAGCCAACAGCTGACAATACAATGATCAAA